CAGAGCTGTCCTGGGGTCACGGGTGGCAGTGGGGTCAGGCAGGGCTGTGTCCCCAATGCTGTGTCCCCAGTGCTGTCCCCAAGGCTGTGTCCCCAATGCTGTGTCCCCAGGGCTGTCCCCAATGCTGTCCCCAAGGCTGTGTCCCCAAGGCTGTCCCCAAGGCTGTGTCCCTAAGGCTGTGTCCTTAATGCTGTCCCCAGGGCTGTCCCCAATGCTGTCCCCAAGGCTGTGTCCCTAATGCTGTCCCCAGAGCTGTGTCCCCAGGGCTGTCCCCAAGGCTGTCCCCCGGGCTGTGTCCCCAGGGCTGTGTCCCCAAGGCTGTGTCCCCAAGGCTGTCCCCACTGCTGTGTCCCCAAGGCTGTGTCCCCAATGCTGTCCTCAGGGCTCTGTCCCCAATGCTGCCCCAAGGCTGTCCCCAAGGCTTTGTCCCCAATGCTGTCCCCAGGGCTGTGTCCCCAAGGCTGTGTCCCCAATGCTGTCCCCAAGGCTGTGTCCCCAAGGCTGTGTTCCCAAGGCTGTGTCCCCAATGCTGTCCCCAAGGCTGTGTCCCCAAGGCTGTGTCCCCAAGGCTGTGTCCCCAATGCTGTCCCCAAGGCTGTGTCCCCAAGGCTGTGTCCCCAAGGCTGTGTCCCCAATGCTGTCCCCAGAGCTGTCCCCAATGCTGTCCCCAATGCTGTGTCCCCAAGGCTGTGTCTCCAATGCTGTCCCCAGGGCCGTGTCCCCAATGCTGTCCCCAAGACTGCCCCAAGGATGTGTCCCCAATGCTGTCCCCAAGGCTGTGTCCCCAGTGCTGTCCCCAGTGCTGTCCCCAAGGCTGTGTCCCTAAGGCTGTGTCCCTAATGCTGTCCCCAATGCTGTCCCCAGGGCTGTCCCCAAGGCTGGTGGGGCAGGGGAGCCAAAGGGATGCTGTGGGTGCTGTGGGGTCCCTGTGACACTGTGGGATGTGGGGCTGCTGGAGCCAGCACCGTGTAGGGCTGGTGTTAAGGGGTTTTTTCGAGCTGTGCCTGTGGCAGGGAAGCACAAGGACAGAGGTCAGCCCCGAGTTAATGGTT